CCAAACGACAAAAATTTCGTACATCGAACGATATATATCTTTGAACATTTTTACCGGAAATTTCTTATTTCAGACAACCATGTTTGAAGGAAGAGCTGCTTTGCAAGTTTTCGGAACCCGTGCAAGATTGTTGTCACAAAGTGACCGTGGTAGGATCCGGTATGGTTGGAGTGGCTATCGTCAACTCGCTTATCTTTCAGGTAAATCGGCTTCTTCCCTTCCGCCCCTCTTACCTTCGTATTTCATCTCCTTCGTTCGATTTATCGAACGATTCGCGCCCGTGCGAAGAAAATGTTGGAAAAATCATCATTGATGACTCGATCGAATTTCCTAATTCTTCTGAATATTACCGCAGAAAATTACCGCGCATGTCGCTATGGTGGATGCGTTCCCGAAGAAATTGGAGGGAGAAGGGATGGATTATTGTCATGCCTCGGCGCTTTTAGATAGCCCGCGTATAGATTTCGACACAGGTAACGATTGTATATAAATAGGTGGGACGAGTTCTTATTCACAAAGAGTGTCCCTTGATGTTTACGTTTAACGCTGAGAACGTTATTTCAGACTTCTGTATCACAAGCAACTCGAAGGTGATCATATTAGCTGCGGGTGCTAGACAAATGAAGGGCGAATCACGCTTGGACCTGGTACAACGGAATTCAGAGATTCTGAAGAGCATAATACCAACTCTGGTTGGTTACAGTCCAAATGCTGTGATCCTGGTCGTCAGTAATCCAGGTTGAATTGAAAAAAAAGAAAAGATTCGTTGGAAAATGTTGGAAACTGCTCGAGAGGAAGAGATCCGATCGATCGAGATTGATAGAAATAATTAATAGTGCTACTCGATTACCAAAAAATGGGAAAATTCTCGTGGGGATCTCTCGTTATTCGAAATTTCTCGGGATACTTTTGGGATCCCGAAACGAACTCGATCCGAGCCGACATTTTCTCGCACGCAATCTATTTGATCGAGACGCCGTCGACAACAAACGCGACCGATTCAAACGGAATCGTTCTTGCTTCCGTAGTTGACATTTTATCGTGGTTAACGTGGAAAATAAGCGGATTGCCAGCCAGTCGAATAATCGGAACCGGGACACACGTCGATTCGGCAAGGTTTCGTTTCTTAATCGCCGATCGTTTAGGAATAGCTGCCAGCTCGGTTCACGCAACTATTATCGGGGAGCACGGGGACAGTCAGGGTGAGTGAGTGAGGAAAACGTGCCACGCTAGCTAAATTTACGATAAATTTCGAACGAGCACGATCTAATTTTATACACGCAATCCTGGCTGGAGGCGAGACCGATATCCGTTTAAAACCGTTTCACGTTTCCTAGTTCCACTCTGGTCTGGAGTGAATGTCGCGGGTGTACAGTTTCGCGACATTTTGCCCAATATCGGCCTCGAGACCGACGAGGAAAGATGGTATGAACTTTCCAAAGAAGTGGTCAGACTGTGAGTTATATGTATATCTCGTTATGCTCTCTTTCCTTTCGAAATCGTACGAGGAAAGCTTGGTCGAAACGAAGCTTTATAAATAACGAGAAGGTTTTTTCCTTTCCTCTCGCGGTTTCAGTGGGCCCACTGTCAGATGCTTAAAGGGATACACCAACACGACAATCGGACTCGCTACCGCTGACATCGTACGAGCTATTCTCAACAACTCGCAGAGAGTTATACCAGTTTCAACCTTGATTCAGGTTAGAAATAGAAATTCGATTTTTCCACCAAGATTCCTCGAGGCTTTTCTACGGTTTCTTTCGAACGAAACAAATTGTCCGAACGGATATCGTTTTTTTTTTTTTAGGTCATCACGAAGTTTGTCACGAAATGTTTTTGTCCCTACCTTGCAGCGTCGGTGAACAGGGAATCACGAATATCGTACGGATGCGCATTACAGAATACGAAAAGAAACTATTCCAGACATCGGCTAATGTTGTGTTCAATGTTCAAAAGGGTATTAAACCTGTATGATTTATCTTTTTAATAATATGTGAATATCGTTCAATTGTATGCATTTTTTTTGTAAAAAGTATCGTTCAATATACCACGTCTCGTAAGCGCTTACGCTGTGTTCTTCTTTCGATTATTACTCGTTCACACGGCATTCGATCCGGACGTCTCCCCGTCCATTTATTTCGAGGAAAAAGAAAAAAAGAAGAGAAAAAAAAAAAAAAAAGAATTATCGATCACTTCCTCGAACTAATTCGTCCACGATTAGAAGTCTGTCGTTTCGAAACACGAGGCAAACACGTGCGCAAACGTAGCGTCTATCCACGTCACGTTCTCTCTCTCTCTCTCTCTCTTGGAACGTGATATTTTTCGAGAAGATCGGAAAAATTTCGTCGATACGATCGAACAAAACGCTTGGGCGAAGAGAAATGCTTTTTTCGGAGTGGAATCGAAGGGTGAACGAGAAGATTGGACGGGCGCGTTTCTCTGTTACGATGCGCGTAAAAAAAAAGGCGATGGATGACCGGTGGATGGTATCGGAAGGTCGCTATTCCGCCGCAGGCTAGGCCACGGCAAGGTGAGAGAGGAGTGTCGGGACTGGCCGCGAGATGTCGCGGTGAAATGCTCGGCAAATGCAAGGCGAGCCGCGGTGTTACGGCATTCGAACGGCGACAGTGCCGTAAAAACAGTGTCGTTCTCTTTTTCGAGGAATCTACCGATCCCGATATTATCCCGATACAAACCAATAAAATCGACGATGGAAAGAAATTTCACGATCGCCAAAAATTTCGAGAATCGTTCGATTCTTCTCGTCCTCGCGTTCCAAAGACGCGGAGGAACGAAGGGATGGGGCGGCGAAGAAAGAAGTGGGATTTACGATATAAAGCGATGTCGCTTTATATAAAAGCATAGAGCCGCTACACGAATCGGCAAGCTAGCCAAGATCGTGGAAACAGCCGAGCCGAAGGCATTCACGATATCGAGCGAAGAAGCGAAACAGAAGCCAGGCCAGAAACGCTCTCCTTTTACTTGGTTCGAAAGCAGATCCATTCGAAAGGCGAGGCGTGTCATCGATTTTTAAAGAATTCTTCGTGAATCGTGTATTCGTTCGCGAAGAATCCTTTCGTCGATCGTACATAGAAATTCGCTCGAAAGCGTGCCTCCAGAAATCGTGATCGTTAATCATTAAGAGGGAAATATTTTACCAACGATCGATCGATCGATCGATAACGAGCGGCCAAGCGGTCTTTCTACGAATTTTAATCGAAAAGATCGAAAAAGAGAAAGAAAAACGCGAGGAAAATCGGTACGATTCGGACGATTATTATTATTATTATTATTATTATTATTATTATTATTATTATTATTATGATTATTATTGGTAACGCGTGATTATTAACGCGCGAGAAATTTCCCGATTGATTTACGTCAATGGTAAAGTCCGATTTATATTATTGGAACAAATAGGTCGGTTAAGGCGAGGGAAATGGTGATGGAAGATTTAAAAAAGTAAGGAAAAAAGTAAGTATTCCGATGGGATGGGTAAAAGTGGAAGGTTATCGGACAGGCGTAGACGGCACTGAGGCCCAGGTGGAGGTGGTAGCCGGGCCCCATTCTCTGTTGGTCCTGTCGTCTGTCAGTGGAGCTCAGTCAGCAGACAGTCGGTCCGTCCGGTCAGCTGGTCCCGTCTAATCGTGTTAAAAGCTGCCCGATGGTAAGCCGAAGGCGAAACACCCGATAGAACCCGGGTCAATCGAGCCTCGATCGTCAAGGATTGACGAAAGAAATCGGCGGCCCGCGCGCCGCATGTGCGCGAGTGTAAAAACTTCTCCACCGGAAACACCAACGACACGGTGCGAGCTCTACCAATTAAATCGAACGAGGAGGAGAGAGAGGAACGCGGAGTGGCGGAGGAAAACGAAGGAAGAAGATAGAAACGCGACAGGGACGGTGTACACCTGGTCAGGCAGGAAATGACTATATCGTACGCGAGCGAAGTGCCAAATGGCTCCAGCTTCGGCTGCTTCTGGAGGATCTTGGTCAAGTGAGTTCTTTCTTTTTCTCTTTTCTCTTTTTCTTTTTCNTTTTTTTTTTTCTTTTTTTTTACCACATCGACGTTATTTCGTTCCCCGGTCGTTCGCGCGATTAAATATCCCTCGTACGGGCGATATCGGCGATCGATCACGATCGATCTCGCGACACACCGTGACAGGTCGAACGAATCCACCGCCGCTTCCTACACGAGGCCTTAGCAACAACAAGTTCACCGGTACAATGGATCGTCCTCTCGAAATTCCGCTCGACACCGGTGGAACACCACTGCTGCTCGCGCTATCCGCGCTTCGTCCCTTCGAATCCAAACGGAAAACGCGACGTTGTTTGTCGCGACGTTATCGCCTCGTACCTCGTAGTAGGAAACACTACGCGACGCGGCGCGTTACGAGCGTACACGCGAAAAGGCTGTGCTCTCACTTTCCTCGCGGTGGATTAATTTTTTCACGAGAGAGAGGGAGAGGAGGAGGAGGAGGAGGAGGAGGAGGAGGAGCGTGCACCGCGCGTTCTTCTCCGTACGAAAAAAAGAAAAAAAAAAAGAAAAAAAATAGATCGGCCGATTCGTTTCCGCGTGATTTTCAGCGATCGCGAATAATCGAAATGTACGGCGTAAACTTTCGACACGCGTGCGCCCGAGCCGAGCGTTCCACAAGATACTGGAGCATACGCTTCTAGACAGTTTACATAGTCGGCGTGCCATGTAAGACGAAGATATTGCGATATCGCGACCGGTGGTTCGTTGTGCAACGTTCAACTTTCGACTCGATGTATCGTGTTCTCGATTTAGAGCCTGGCTGCGCAGGGGAGAAGGAGGAGAGGGAGAGAGAGGGAGAGAGAGAGAGAGAGAGAGAGAGAAGAGAAGAGCAATCGAGTCCTTGGACAAGGATTCTGCAAACGCACGTGCGGGAAATAAGGAAAATCGATAATAAATCGTTTCCAATCTCCTTTTTCTTTTCTTTTCTTTTTTTTTTCTTTTTTCTTAATCCCTCCTCCTCTTCAGCGTGGTTCGCGGATCGATTCGTAACGATCTTTACGAGCGTCACGCGAACGTTAAACGAGGTGGTATGGGACGAGACTGAAATTGTCCTGATTTTTTTTCCCTCAGAACGTACGGTTATATGAATCACAGTAGCGGAGCACGTAAAACCCGCTAGCACAGAAATGGTGCTCGGTCAACGCTTGCCAGTACGTTTTAAGGAAATAAGGTCGTCGATACATTGATTTTACCCGTAACGACGCGAGCATTACGCGTGGAATACCGCCACGCTGTTCTCTACACCTCTGCACACGATCGAGATTTTCGTTCCAGTTGTCGATCACGTACGAACCAATATTTCTACGTTATCCCGATATTTTTTATTCTCCGTTCGATCGCGATCGATCGTTAAAATCGAATCGTTAACGGGGAAAAAAGAAGTCACTGAAATCTTTTTCTTTATCCTTTTTTATATCCTTTTTCCTTCCTATCCGACGGATCTTTCGCGTCGATTCAAAACGCGTTCTAAGAAAAGAAAAACAGAAAAAGAGAAAAAAAAATTGATCAATTTCCGCGTGGAAAAACCACGAGGAACTCGGTTTTTGCACGAGTTTCCTGAGAATCGGGCGACATGGATGGCCAGCGCGAGAGAGCAGATCGCGCGCCAAGTTACAACGTTATACAACGATCCTTATGTAAATCTTGGACACGATGTAGCACGACGTCGTGTGTACAGTTAAATAGACGGGTTTGTCTGGCCTGAACAACGGCGCGCAAGCAAGGATTCCGAGAACGGAAGGAGAGGAAGAAGGGATCAAAATACGATCAACCGTACTTTCGATCAACCGTAGGGTTGTGTTATCGACGTAGCAACAACGTCTTCCTCGCGATTGTCGATAAAACCGGAACGGAGGAGGGAGAGGGGATCGCGAGTCGACGAAATCGGCGGTGTTCGATGCGAGTAAACGAATCGGGGGGAGAGGGAGAGAAAGATAAACACGATTCGTTCCTTCGCTCGTTTCGAAAGGAAGAGGCTGGGCTATTATCGATCGGAGAGTTATTAATAAAAAAAAATCGGATGACGCAAGGCGCTGCGAATTCCTCCGAGTCGCGAGTGTTCGTGAAAATGCATAATCTCTCCTAGCCGGGATAACGCACGATTTATAACGTCCTTGCCGAGACTCGTTTATTGACATTTGCGCGACCTTTAGGTGCGGCGTCGGTGGATCCTCCGGTGATAATCTCGGTTTCTCTCGGGCGCCAACTTGAAAACGGCCTTAACTGCTTTCACGTAAGATCTCGCTTTCCTAACGCACGCCACGCGCTCTAACAGAGTGCGACCGACAACTATGTATCTATAAATAAACCGGCAACTTCCACAAATAGAAAACGCTTTTGTGATAGCACGCGCGACCACGATATCCTCCACCTGGATATTATCGATCCGTGGATAAATTATATCCCGCTCGATTCGAACGGGGAAAAGTTTGCAAACTACCGCTCCACACCGGAATCTCGCATCTCGAAACGCTCTGCGATTAGATTCGAGCTTCTTCTTCTTCTTCTTCTTCTTTTTCCACGAATAAACGTATTTTTAATTTTATCGTGGATCGATTCGAGTCATCTCTCGATCTTCAAGATTCGAGAACCGTGGGATCCGTGTGCAAGTTAAGGAATTTCGTATCGATGAAGAGGAACGGGATCGTCGTTGGATCCGGTGAATCTAGAAATATCGCGTAACGAGATAAAAGTTAAAAGAGTAGAGGAGGGAAGAGTAAACGCGGTAGTAATCGAGGCGCAGAAGGAATTTTTCAATTCCAAGATACGGGGATTCTCGATGATACGAGAGCGTTTCATGCGGCTTGGATGCAACCGGCACGCAACAACCGTTCTTTTTCTCGTGCAAGTCTTCCGGAACGGTCCATATCAGCTTTCCTATCCAACCTCGTCGGCAACAGACAAAGAAAGCATAACGATCGCGGATCTATAAATA